AAAGAAAAACATAATACTTAAAAAAGTTGAAAATTTGTAATTATTTTTAAAACCAAAAAATGAAAATGTTCGAAAAAATTGAGAATTTTTGAAAACATTAAATTTTTTGAAAAAAATGAAAAGAAAATATGAAAAAAATTTGAAATAATGAAATTAAAAAAAGTGAAATTTTTGAATTTACCTGGGATGATATCAATATCATCCCTGATATCATCCCTCTAATCCTGATATCATCCCTGTCCCAAATATGTGATTTATCATTTGCTATTATATACCTGATATTGCTCTGACCATGGTAAAATAATCTATATACATGCTGTACACTTCATGATAAACTAAGGTTTTCCAGAAACCTCACATTTAGCCAGCTATCTGTTATCGTTCCCTTTTTGCGCCAGACCTATTATTATCAATTTATTAGTATTCAAGAAACTAAACAGGAACGTTAATGATAATCAATGGCAATTAATTAAGCTAGAATTCACTCAGGCAGGCTTATCTGTGTAGATAGCGTAGAATTCTTTGAAATTGATCTGAGATATGGGGATTTAACAAGAGAAAGATCTATGTCTGACTATTAGATATATTTGCATAAGATCATGTAAAAATCTGTTGTAGCCTGTTAGGTAAAATTTGTATAACAGTTTCTGTTTTTTTTCTAACAGACCATTTAAAGGCTAAACATGGCAATTTCTGTATATACGAGTCGTATGTACTAGAGTCCATTTCATTGTTTAATTGCGTCAGTAAAACCTAAAGAATAAGAAATCAAAATATCATTATGCAATAATATATGGAAAAATATATTCCTATTGTACATGAATGACATTTGTATATCTTGGATTGCTTCTAGTTTGGCTTATAAAGTGTGTGGCCTCTTATATTTGGATGTTTTTCTGCCATGTTATTTTCAATAAGATTAACATGGCTGAAATGCTTCAATTACAAGAGGGCACAGGCTTATTGCACAAAAAACTTAAAAATCTGAAATATACATCATGTACAATGTGAATATACTTTTCCATATATTATTGCACAATGGTCTACCGATTTCTTATTTTTGGGGTTCTACTGACGCAATAAAACAGTGAAATGGACTCAGAGATAAAACTAAAACTGTTTCCAAGTATCTCTCATGTAGATCTGTAATTGCTTGTCATGGGACATAAAATAGTGATGAGAATCATTTTCTAGAGTTCACTATTCTCTAAAGAGATTCATTTTGGTTGATTAGGTAATCCATAACAAAACATTTCTCATTTACACCTCCCAATTATAACTTAATTTTGACATTTCAAAATTTGGTCAGCAAAATTTTCTGAAGATGTTGCCCAAAGGCCATCAGAATACCGAAATGAAAGTAATTTTCTTGGTAGTGTTAGTGAGTATATTTTCATTATATATGTAGTCTCTATTCTGTAACATCATGTCGATGTACAGGACAAATAATCATCTTATAATCTATGTGAGAATTGATGTACTTTACACAGCACTTGACCACATGGTTTATCCCAAACCTAATCGAGAATGTTCAGTTTGTTATTATTCCTCAAGATTGATATTTCATATCAATGTTAATGCTTGCTAATTAGTCAGATGTGAGTAGGTAGTTACTAGTGTGGCCACCAGGTGGCTTATTCGGGGAAATAACATGGCAGGGTATAACATAGTTCCCTTCTTGAATATTCATCGGTTTTAGTGCCCTACTTTTCATATAACTCTTATATATCTGATATTTATACAAATTCAAATATGGCCAGTAAAAGAAAATATTATCTGCCCAACACAAGAAAAGATATTTCACTTTTTGTGATTTTACAACATGGGGTATGGGGAATCTTCCCGACCTAGAAGTCACATTTTTAAAGAAAATTCAATTTTCAAAGTTGATAAACTCTTTTCAAAACCACATTTCTAGATGTAATTTTGAATTTTTAATGACGTAAATCAAGATTATTTCTACTCGCATCTAGTATATTGTGATATTGTTTAACCTTTGTGTTGCGTAAATATTGTTGTTGAAATTGTTAGTCATTGTTGAAATTTGCACCCACTGTTGAAATTGGCAGTCATTGTTAAAAGAGTCGCCAATTATGTAATACTAACAGTAATAATTTTTTTGTGAATACAACAATATTTGAAGAAGACAACAAAACAAGAACAACATAAGGCCAGATTTTTATACTAATTTTTTCATCAGTCTCAGTACATGTAAGAGGAATTTTTGGCTCACATGAGCTTACAGAAACTCTAAAGGCAAAATACAATGTATGCCCATTTTCAAGTGGGTGCAGGTTGGATTGTCACATGGGCGTAAGTCTCTTTTTCAAATCTCAGGTGGGTGCAGCACCCACTGGTTAAGTGCTAGTGAGATCACTGTAAAAAGAGGAATTGATCTAATATGTTCAGAGTGTAGATCCGTTAGATCAATACACGGAATGTTAGATGAGAGTGTATAACAGTGCTCACTCAGGAATCTGCACAGGCAGACATTAGAGGGATTTACTGGTAAATAAAATATCAATTTCCTCATTATTGTGTCTACCTAAAAACACTAGAAAATAGATTAAGTGGATAGAAAAATCCAGCGAATTTTGAAGAGAGGAGCCTTAATTTTATCCATATTTGAGAAAGGTAAGTAGGGTGCTATACATTAAAAGACTGATATTTCTTGAAAGGTTCAATATTTTGGAATTTTTGAAACACAGTACATTATTGGAAAAATTGGATCTGCTATTTTTTGATTGATAACATTTTTATGTGTTTCATTGGCACTCTATAATAATGATTTAGGATTCAAAAGGTATTTTTCATCCAAGTAAAAGGATTTGTTCATAGTTCACCAGCAAACGGGTCATAATGTTAGACAATGCTTTATACAAATTATATGCATGGGAACGAGATTTTCTTAAAAAATATGGAGATATAAAACTTTCATTCATGACAAGTATACCCTGACAATCTTACTACTTCAATAATTGAGTGTCTTCATTGTTTTGATTGATGAGATTTTCTTTTGAAAATAGATTATTTTTACAGATTATTTCAAGGTGTTAGATCATTATAGAACAATAGGTATTGTCTTCAGTTATTTTCTCTGAGACAGTCCTGGTAAGTTACCGCTTCATATCCAGGAAATCAGGATGTGGCCGATGGGGTTTAATTAGGAGTGTCTGCATATCAGGCATCTCAAATAAAAACCTGACCATATTAATTTTTGTAACATGCTTGAGGACCCTCCTAGTAAAGTAAAATGTGGCATCTATATATGGTAAAATATTTTTAAAATGAACCCAGCCCCATTATAGGTACATGTATGCGCTGAGATGAGCCTGATCAACAGATAAAGTTGATTATTAAGAATGATATTCTCGCACTTCAAAGAGTATCTAATTTTATGTTTCCATTCTTGTTATCGCTGGAGAACTTGAACAAATCCTTTTACTAAAGATGAAAATACCATTTGAATCCTAAATCATTGTTACAGAGTGTCAATACTGGTTGATATTTGGTTTCTGTAACAAATTGTTACACGTTGGTAATAATTTACCAGGTGGTTACATTTTGAAATGTCCTCGTCTTGTTTACAGTATATTTACTGAGAAGGGGCACAATTTAATATGAGCTAAAGGAAGTGCTTATTTGCTAAAATACTGAGTATTGGGTAGGAGTAAATATAACATATAAAAACATTATTTATTATTCGTGTATGGCTATTAAGTAACACCAGGCCCATAGCCAGGGGGGAGCGGAGGGAGCGGCTGCTCACTTTTACCCCCTTGGCAAATATGCCCAGTAAATCCTGGCTACAGGTCTGAACACTGATCTCATTCAACAATCTTTTCAACTATGAAACTTCAGGTTTCATCTCCATCAGTTATTCATTTCAAACAAAATATATTTTTGTTGTTCATCCATCATAAATGGTTTGGTTTATATTGTCAGATTATTACATTGTTTTTTCCTGTGTTATAAGTCTAACTAAAATATCTCCAATAATACATTGATTATTAGTAATTTTTTTGCCTTATTGTGATACAATCCTTATTTGGTTGTTTCAAAACACTTTTGCTTATTACAGCAATAGACATGTATTGGATACTTATTATATACTGTATATGTATTACCTGAATGTTTAGATGAACAATAGATTCTTACAATATTGGGCTGAAAAGAATTAACATAAAATGTCCGAGAATGAAGGATCTACTTGTCAGCGAATATTATCCAAGAAACATTCACTTTGGCATGATTTCATTCATGAGCTGTCTTAAGAGGGATTTATGCTACTTGAAAGGTTTCACGAGTCAGCGTTTCCTTAGGATTGTAATTACTTTCAAAAGTCGGCACCACCTAATAAATGAGAATCAATTACAATGTACAATTCTTTCTAGGTTTCATTGCAAGGCTAATTGATAAATTCTGTAATCTGTTATACATAAAAATCAACACAAATTGAAAGTTATGCATGTTAGGAATTTGATTTCCTAGATTTAATAGATTAAGGATATATAAAGAGAATTCAATGTTGAATAATTGATAACATTTTGATATGATTTGACAGACAGTATAATATTGTATACATAATCAGGGAAGTCAAGTAGGTTGTTTTAGGTATTGTCACGAATTTTCGTCACGTTATAGTCTTACAATTCAAAGTGTATGTAGTTGTGCAATTCATTAGGCGACCAATGAGACATGAAATTGTGATCAAAGTACAGTTACTGTGACACAGGAGAACAGGGGTAATCAGAAAAAGGGCTTAAGAAGATGTATTGTACATGATTGATGCTATAATAATGAAACTGAACTGCCATTTTGACTTAAAAATATTTGCTTCTCCAATACTAAAAGAACGAGATATTAAAATCATTTTTTCTTTTACAGATTCCTTGGATCTTCTTCTGGAGATAATGTCAACTAGTGTCAAATAAAAATATTTTTGCATTGGAGCATTGCATAGTTGAATTTTAAACATGTTCTGTTTTCTGTGATTTCAGGTGATATTCAGCTAGAGCAGGTTAAAGCAGAGGTTGGCTCAGACAAGGAGAATCCACCACAAAATCAGCAAACTGTAGAATCAGACAATATGGATGCCGATGGAGATGTCACTATGGAGACAAGAAAGCGTCCAATAGAGGGAGAAGTAGAAGACAGTGGTGATGAGCCGAAAAAGAAAAAGAAGAAGAAGAAGTCATTGGGGCCACAGATACCAAAGAATGCACTAATGCAACTGAATGAAATTAAACCTGGGCTTGAGTTCAAGTTGATGGGACAGACTGGTCCTGTACATGCTCCTGAGTTTGTCATGTCTGTAGAGGTCAATGGGGAAACCTTTGAAGGAACAAGCTCCACAAAGAAGAAAGCTAAACTTGTCGCAGCTGAAAAGGCCCTGAAATCATTTGTCCAATTTCCTAATGCAGCTGAGGCATATCAAGCTATGGGTGGCCAGGTCACAGGCGGAGACTTCACTAAGGACGTTGCTGACCCTAGTAGTGATCTGCTATTCAGGCAATTTGATGGCGAACAGATGGAAGAAAATGGGACCAATGGTACGATTCGAGTCAATGGAAACACTCCGGGAGCCAAACGTGCCATCCAGCCCACAGCAGGGAAGAACCCAGTGATGATTCTAAATGAGATACGTCCAGGGACCAAGTATGATGTTCTGTCTGAGACTGGGGAGAGCCACGCCAAGAACTTCTGCATGTCTGTTACTGTAGATGACCAAACCTTCCAGGGAACTGGGCGGAACAAGAAATTGGCAAAATCTCGCGCAGCACAAGCTGCTCTAGCTAAAATCTTCAACGTTGAATTCCAATCTGCACCAGGTATATGTATAAACCTTTATATTGATTATATTCTATGTCAAGTTCCTGTCGAAACTTCGTGTCTTCTCAAATACTCCGACACTCCTAACTCAATTGCACTCTGAGTAAGAACCTTGTTTCCGTGTCTAATTGCACTCCTCAACTTAAACTAGACGTCTTCGGTTATTGATCGAGACCACACGTCAAACTGAGCAGACAATATGCTTGACAATGAATTAATTTCTATAATTCCGATCAATATTTTTACACATTGTATTTTTAATTATTATTTGCCAATAATAATTACAGTCTGTTTACTGTTGGTTTTGCTAATAGCTCAAGTTCCTTCATTTGAGTAAAGTCATTTCTCTCCAAATACTATTTAACACTTTGTGCGTCAATACAAAGGACATAAATTACACGTCTAATAGCATTTCTTCTCTTTTTAATCACCATTTTCTTCTTATGTGACATCACTGTTAATTTGTAGAGTTCCTAATTATCTTATGCTGGCCAAAGGAGACATAATCTTTCAAAGGAAGTTTTCTTCTAATAGGAATGTTCTTCCTATGTAGTCTTTGGGGATGTTCAGTAAGGGTGTTTCTTATCAAGTAAGGGTGTTTAATGGGCGTATACTTCATTCTTTCCAGGCAGGGGCATTCAGTAGGGGTGTTCTTCCAAATAAGGGTGTTCTTTCAGATAAAGTTACTCATTTGTAGGGGTGTTTGTCAAACTAATAGTGTTCATTCCCATTTTCAGAAATTCATTTCTTCTTGATTTCTTAGTGCCAGAAACAATACCTAATCATTTCTTACAAATACGAATAAACTGTCTGTGACCCGCTGAGCCTCTAGAGAATAGAGGATTCATACACAATTATTAGTGACTTCCTTCGTCCATTTATTACAGCATCCCTTGGGGGTAAAAAGTTCTATTTTCGCCATTTCTGCTGTATGGGTTACTTAGCATTACATTTTCAGTGGAATTAGACCTTGTTAAGGGCAATTAAGGGAGTTCTTATTGTTCACTAGAGAAACTACTGAACCATCACTGCTTTTCATATTCTCATATTCTAAATATTTCCAATCGTGCCAAACTCGAGCTTCAGTACAAGCTTCAATTTATTTAACTGAGCCAGGCTTGATAATGAAGCTTAAACAATTATTTTTGCATTAATTGATCTTTTTACTAAAACTAATGAATATACTTCTTTCGTTTTTTACTTAACTTGTAAACCATTTTGTTGAAAATTCATTGTTGCATCGATACAAGAAATATTCCATATTTGATACAACAGCCAGATCTTCATCATAGTTAATAAAAAGTATATTATTTGCATTTGTTGGACTGTTTGATTTGTTATTTGAAAACAAATACCTTCTCTATGTTATGCCTCAGAAGATGTTAATAAAAATAGACAATAAAAGAAAATATATGTAGCGTAGCGTAATGATTATATGTTTGACATTTAGCTCAGCTTATACTTAAGATTATGTGAACTTAACATTTGCTTTGTGACCTTCATCTTCTGATAGCACACCTTTCAGTATATGTGTATTTTTCAGGTTACATGTCCCCACGTTACGCCTATGTACCAGCATATTCCTATGCCCGACTGTACAAATATTATTGTATGTTTCACAATTTAACAAAAGTAACTTCCTGAACGTTCTCGTTCAACTGACAGTAAGTTACTCTGTTGCATTGTGGGATGTATGATGTCACAATTAACCTCTCTATTTTGCCGTCATATTTATTCACTCTCACAGCTTGCTTTCTATAGACAGTCACGTGGTTTATTTTGGGATTCTGCAGACACTGTTTATTCATGATTAGACGGCAAAATAGAAAGTTGAAGAAATGTTTAGAAAGCTTTTATGAGTTATATTCGGCATAAATGCTGATTGTTCTTCAGAGTTATCTAAATCTTGCACCAACCCATTGTATATCTACTCCCCTATCTTAATACACTTATGAAAATTGGGCAGTAGAATTAGAAACGTGATGCAAGTCTTTAGAATTGTAACTTTTAAATATGAATAAACACGTCACAGCATCAAGTCAATATATAAAGTGTTGTCTTGAGAAAATCTGAACATTATCATCATGATTTTGAAAAGACTACATTTCAAAGGAACTTGTTGTAACTTTTCAGCGTGATTCTAACTGAAGAAATTGCTTCATCTTCCCATAGTGTTGATGCTAGAACGTGTATCCATATATGGACAGCAGTTAATCCCCTAGATTCTTTCACTTTCACTCATGTCTGGCTATAATCAAAGAATTTTGTGATAAGACGTGTTTTTTTTTATCTAAAACGTATTACCAAAAACAATTTAATAAAAAGATTTTAAAAAACTGATCACCATATTGATTATCATCAATCCTCGTCTTATATTTTCTGAAATATTTTCTCAAAACTATAGTTAGTAAATGTTACAATTCTCACGGGCTTCAATTCAAAGTTCAAGACGTGTCCCATAAGATTCACATCTCTCACTGAGGCACTTTACGCTGCAGCGTGTTGACATCTAATGGTAAACATAAACTTCCATTTGTTGAAAATTTCCGATCAGGCGATACTTCTCTTGTCAATGTATGTCCAGCCATCCGTGTGATGTATTAACTTGCACCAGGAGCTCATTGATCAAGATTCTCTAGCGAAGAAATATTCTCTTTTTATCTTTGATTATTTGCATCTGATGAAAATATCCTAATATTCCTCAATATGGGTCAGTCTGCAAATAAATTTTACAGAGACGCTTTTCAGGTGTATGTGACCTGATGAATTGAAAAACCATCAACTATTGAAAGATTTTTCAGAAGTTGGAGCCATTGTGAAATTTATTTCACTTAAATTCATTAAAACAATAAAGTATACATCGGGTACTCAACTTGGGACATCAAATAATTGAATATATCATTTGGATGCTCAATTGAATTCATCATGTTCATAGAATTTAGAAACTATGAGGGAACAGAGATTTTTGAAGTTCATGCACTCAAAGTGCCACATGACAAGGCATGTTACTTCAAATCTTGAAGAGAGGTAAAGGAGATTGGATTGAAATATTTTTGAAAGAGGATAATTATTTCAACAGCGATATCTGCTCTTCAGCCAGGCATGAAAATGTCAATGATTCGCTTGGTTTGTAGGCCACACATAAATAATGAAAATGTCTCGAGTAATCATTGCTTTAGAGACAGGTGCGTTGTGTGCATGTAAAGCATACCTCAATGGGAATATGTATCAATCTCATGCTTTCTACACCTCAATCATTCTGATTCTCGTAGCTTCCCTCTGTATCGCCAAGGCTGAGAAGAAATGAGATGTTGCGATTTATCATGGTGCACCTCATTGATGATACCCAAACTTTGCTACCCTGGACCCATGTTTTCTAAAAATCAAGTTGGTCTAGCTTCACATCAGACTATTGCGACTTGCAATAGGTAAAAACTGGTAAAAACTGCAAAGTTTGTTACAGAATGATAGAATTACATTTATTACCTTTAATTTCATTTATTTCTCTTTATATTAGATTATAACAGCATCCTATGGAATATATTGAGGATGTTAGATCGAAATTAGATTTGTTTCCTAATTTGAAATTGTAAAAGAAATTGGTCTTGGTTTTGTGCAGCTGGTTTTGAGGGAGTTGAGCTCTTTAAAATTCCCAAAGTAATAATTCCCATTGCTTGGTCCTTCAAACAAAAATCTTATCAGGCCTTAATGAGTATGTCTCAACATTTGAGAAATGAGAACTTAGGCTAATCTGGATCACTTCCAATTTCTTGAGAGCACTTTAAAATGATGTCTGTCCATTTTACTCAGATATAAGAGCATCTAAATCTGTAAAGTGATGAAATATGGAAAAGCATGAGAGACCTATTGAAATAAATGGAGGTTTTATTACTATGGTAATCCTTTGATTTGTTTACGGCCTAGATGGATTATCATTATGTCTGCTCCTATCTATCAATTGCAGCACCCATACATAATCAAGATACTTCTGAAGTCATAAATGGTTTTTGATGGATTATATTCAGAACCTTTATAACCAAGATAATTTTAATGAAATGTTAATATGCCATTATGAGAAACAGTGAATGTTCAGCTCTTGACATGAGTTGTGAAAATCTAGGGTTTAACTATTATGACCATTTTCATGATAATACAAATCTTTATGCTTTCGCTTTGCAATTATTTTTACTGCATTCTGGCTGGCCGAATTGTAGCACACGTAGTTGTAGAAGGCCAATTTTTGTGTGACGCCACCGGGTATTGGTGATATTTTTTTGTGGATGGTGTTCGGCATTTGATGGTTGGTGTCTGTAACAAATGGCAGGTGATGACATTTTGCATGTTAATGCCTTGTTTTGTTTTGATTTTGGAGTAGATTGGGCTTTACTTGTAGCATTGCAACTTTTATATTATGATCATGCATTTAGATGCAAAAGGAGAATTGGATATAAGCCCCCTTCTGCATTTAAATGCTGATATGACCTTTACATTTTGATATTCTTCCTCTATATATAAACTGAGATGCTTTAGAATATTTTAACACCAAGTTTAGCTCACTTTGCTTGTAACTTGCTCTCTTTCAAGCAGCACAAGTCAAAACAAATCTGTAACTCAATAGATTGGTTGTGAATTGTACTGTACGTCTTCTCAATGTGTGTTGGTGTGGTGTTAACCTCTACAGAATACCCAATATATACTTTATATATTCAATTCTTATATATATTGTATATCATGCATTTGGTTATTTTGTATATTTGGTTGTATAAAATGGTTGAGCTTTGTCATAGAGACTACCAGAAAATGAATCAGAAAAATAGTTTTCATGTGAAATACTATATTTCTGTGATGTTCGCTTCTCATTTTAGCTAGCACATATTAACACATATATTGTTATATGAGAACATACACTGGGTGTTTATTTATAAGACATTGTTAATGTTTTGGGGACCAGCTCAACATTACGATGATGTCACATTGTGTAATTAATTACATGATAGACTGACCCCCTACTAAAATAATTTATTGCATTTTCGAAGTAAAAGACACTTCCTTTCAAAAAATTGTCAAATAAAGTCATACTTCTTCCAAAGGTAAATGATTACATTTATGGGCATTTATCAATGTTGAACCTGTTCCCCTGAGTCTTATATAATAGACACTCTGTATGTGTCTGATATATTGTACTGATATCTATCTTTGTGTTGTAGGGCAGGAAGCAGTCCTAGCTGAGGGGGGTGATGATGCGTCCCTACATCTACCCCAAGTGCTGGCAGACAAGGTTGCTGACCTTGTAATCCAAAAATTTTCCGAGCTTACAGACAACATGTCATCTTCATATGCCCGCCGTAAGGTCCTGGCAGGGATTGTCATGACAACGAGCGATACAATGGATGATGCCCAAGTGATCAGTGTCACAACTGGTACAAAATGCATCAATGGCGAGTATATGAGTGATCAGGGAATGTCTTTGAATGACTGTCACGCTGAGATTCTGTCTGGCCGTTGCTTACGACGTTTCTTCTATCAACAACTTGAGATGCATGTCAACCCAGAGCAAGCTGCACAGTCTATCTTCCAACCCCGTCCTGAGGGTGGATTCAAACTGAAAGAAAACATTCAGTTCCACTTATACATCAGTACCTCACCCTGCGGTGATGCGAGAATCTTTGCGCCCCATGTTGACACCACTCCAGACAGACACCCGAATCGCAAGGCCAGAGGGCAGCTGAGGACCAAGATTGAATCTGGTGAAGGAACGATACCTGTACAGGCGAATGCTATGGTTCAGACCTGGGATGGGGTCCTCCAGGGGGAGAGGCTTCTCACTATGTCTTGTAGCGACAAGGTAGCTCGCTGGAATATCCTAGGGGTACAGGGTGAGTAGTCAAGACAGTACAGTAATGTAATACAAGTAAAATGTCATTTCATCATTCTTTTTGGAAAGTAATCGACATAGTTTTTCAGAGTCATAGAAACCCTTTTTCAACCGGTATATTTTGAAATATGATTATTGCATATTTCACTCCAGATGAAATCAGAACCTCTTTAACGAACAAAAATTAATTGATATCAATTATCATGAAAATATGTATTTTAAAATATATTGCATATTTTACTTCAGACGAAATCAGAAATCTAAAATACAAATCACACATACTCATGTTTCAACTTTTTACTGTAGAACATTAAAGAATTTAATATAAAATATTTTAATTGTGTTTTTAACTGCAGGTGCCTTACTGAGTCATTTCATAGAGCCTGTTTACTTCAACAGCATCATTCTTGGTAGTCTCTACCATGGTGAGCATCTCTCCCGGGCTGTCTATGCTAGGGTATTGGCAAACGACACAGGATCCTGGCCAGGAAGTTTCCGCATTAACCGACCTCTGTTGAGTGGTATCACTAACCAGGAATCCCGGCAACCTGGTAAGGCCCCTAACTTTGCTGTTTTATGGGGATTTGGTGACCCAGCCTTGGAGGTAGTGACAGCCATGACGGGGAAAACTGAATCAGGCAGTCCAGCCTCAGTGTGTAAATACTCTCTCTTCAAGAGGTTTGCTGAGCTTTATGGGTGTATTCCATCGATAAAAGGTCAGGGTGTCGAACGGCCACGTACCTATGCTGAGTGCAAGACAAGCATGTTGGACTATCAGCTGGCGAAGCAGCAGTTGTATAAGGCATTCAATGCCAATAAGCTCGGTAGTTGGGTAGAAAAACCCATCGAACAGGATCAGTTTGAGCTGGGTAGCGAAACCAGTTGAGCTGGTTTGTGTCCTAGTTCTAATTCCACTGATCTCACGTCGCTCTGACGTCGTATGAAATTCACAGCTTCCGAGTGCAATCGTGAGGTCTGGAGATTAGAACTGGCTCAAACCTGTTTCAACCGGTTGCTGACTGTCAGTTTCAATTTCACGCAAAGACGTACACGCTTTTAGGATATTAATCCAGATGGCCCATAGAGCATGCACACGTTAATTCAGGTAGTCATAGATTGGAATGAAGCATGTACATGGGGACCAGAACTTTTTGATCATGTACAGTGCAAATCAAAGCTCACCTAGCATTTTAGGTTAATTTTGATGTGTACTGTATCATCTTCCTGAATTTTTTTTTTAAGAAATATAACTGCATAGTGTAGAAGAAATCACGCAAAGATGCTTTACTTTAGACCTTTTGGTCACATATTGTACCAGCACTTAATATTGCTTTCATAGTCAAGCACCAAGCAGGTATACAACAGTAAATTTACAGATTTTAGTATGGACACAAGAAGGGTTGACTCCCAGTGTTCTAACTCGATATTCGACCTTGACCTTGAACGATCACAACATTGGAAATGTCATTATTTTCTGATATTATTACTGACAATAAATTCATAATCAGCAATCCAAAAGATTTGGAATAATATCAATTCAAATTCTGAAGTGAAAAAATAGCCGCTGTTTGATTTTGAATTTTGTTATCATGATATGACTCCATATATGGCAGAATATCGAGTTGGAACCCTGGTAGCCAATTCTCTTTGGTATAGACAAGAAGGGCTCTTGACAATAAATTCCATTACCGTACATTTACTACAGTACTTAGAGAATGAAAGTAGACATACTCATTGAACTGTCCCAATTTTAAAACATCTTTATTGTTTGAAGGCCCAATGCGAAGTGAAAATAATCCCTCATCGTTTCAAACTTATTTCTTGTGACACATTGTTTCAGATGTTTTAAGAAAAAGTGGTTTAACACTTCTCCAACTGTATGCAGCTATAGCATTCGCATATCATGTGAAATTTTAACTTTTTTTTAGTTTTTCAAATGATTTTCTGAACAAGCTTTCAAATGATGTATACAACATGTCATAGCTATATGGTAAACATAATTTCAATCAGACAGTTCAACTGGACAGTGATCAAACTTTTCATGGGGCCTTTAAAATAAGAGCTTGGTGTACTGTAGGTGGTAAACATATAATTATATACGCTTAATGATTGATAGGAATCAAGCTTTTTAATATGATGATATTGTTTATCAAGCGTCACTCCTCCTTCAAGCATGAAATAAATGTGACCGACCCTTCACTCATATATATGTACAGTCTGCGTCTGCGCACAATGTGTTTACGTACTAGATGTTTAATTGTAACGTTCAGCATTATGTAAATGGTTTTGAATTGTAGTCACAGCATTATATCACATCTATAACGCCATTCAGATTTTACATGGTTTTTGCGTAAAGTCCTCATAAATGCTATTCTGTAACATAAATGTTTCACAAAAGCGAATCATTATTTAGGTTCACTGGTGCAATCCATTACAAAGCTGTGAAACTTTTACTGATGAATGGCTTCATAGGTGTTTGTTTATTCTTTGAATGTATTCATGAGGATGAGCAGTACATGTATATTTTCCAAACAGATTTACTGAACAGTGAGCTTTGTTTAAACTGAATGTGGGCACATGGTACCAATTGCAAGAGCCTGAGTTTGTCCACAGTCTAAATGTACATGTATGTTTTGTTTTATTTTGACTTTGAGTCCTACATACTTCCTTCCATGGGGTTGAATACAGTGGAAATTGATTACGTAAAATTTATTCGACTACAGTATATTTTTTCATTCTACTGGTATTGTGAAACTTTAATTGTATGGTATAACTTCTTTACACTGTATACCATTCAGTTCAGTACAGTACAGTCCAGTTCAGTACAATATGGTAAAACTCAGTAATGTTACTTTGTGTAACATACTATTTTTTTTAAATATTGTGGGTTACAGGTTAGCTCCAATACAAGTGTCTTATTTAGTTAATTATCTTACATGTACGAAATGGAAAGTAAGTTGTACAGTGAATGTAAATGAAATGAATTCTTTATTTAGAAGAACTTGGACATTTTATTCAATACTTTGGAACTGGTCTCTTAGAAACACACGGATAATTAGGAGATTGATGTGAAAAAACATTTTTCAGCTTGGCAGTTACAAAAAAGGCACTTCTGAAAATAAGGGATTTATATCTTTTTTGTTGAATAAAATGTAAATGTTTTTCATAATGAAATTTCTTGTATGTTTTGTTGTATAAAATCTGGACAATCAATTTAATAACAATGCAGCTGCTGTCTCATTAGATGATTCATGTGATGTACCTCGCCTTACCTGGGCCCCTATGTGTAAACTCTTGTACAAATACCTAGGCATGGCTATAAGATAATTTAAAAGATAATTCTAAAGAAGGGGGTTCATTATTGCATAATACGCTATAACTTCTTTATTCACCCAGGGGTCATTAACAGAACTTTCGCAAAGTTACGAATTCAACAGTCAATTGCTAATTTTACGAATTTGGTAAATGTGCATTAACAGAACTTTCGTAAAGTTACGAACGATACGCAAAGTTTTGAAAAATGACGTCACATATGCTTTCATTCATAACTTTAATAGCACCTCAGACCCTTTCATAACTTTGCGAATGGCATATTTCTCATCCAGTTCTTATGTAAGGTATACAGGTTGGCAAAAAGAAATTGTTCTTTTTATGCATGCTAAGTTTCAAGCTAAAATATCCACCTATTCTTACATGATAAGCAAATATGTTCCTGAGCTGGGAATCTTTGAAATCACGGTGACCGGTTTAATCACAGCGCGCAATGATATCAAATGACATCATATTTTTATTTGTGCTAAATAATGATATAAGATGACGTCACAATTTGAAATTCGTTTACGAACTATAAAACTTATGAATGACTTACGAAAGTGTTCTGTTAATGGCCAATTCGTAACTTTACGAATTCGTAAGTCATTCGTAACTTTTTAAATAAGTAACTTTGCGAAAGTTCTGTTAATGACCCCCTGAAGAAGTGAAATGGAGCATAACCAGAAACATACCTGGAATTTAAATTTTAAATTTGGGCCCATTAATAGAAAATGTAGGCCCATTTACTCATAAATAAAGCCTATTTTTGAAAATGAAGCCCAGATAGCCGATCATGCTTTTGAGGAGGGGGAGTGTTATATATAAACCCCCGTTTATTACAGCCCTGCTTGGGATATTTGTTTCAGAGAAATGGGATCTGAGATTGGGAGTGGGTTTATTTGTTATTTTTATGTTAATAGTTACTACCTGCTTTTACTTTTGTATCATCATTTTCTAATTTAGTAATTATATATAAGCAGTGACATTACTTACAGATATGGAATATGAAAAGTGCTTTTGAAAGTGAAATAAAACAGTTGCAAGTTCTACATTGTTTATGTGCAGTACTTACATATCAGTTGCTATCAACTGTATGTTATGCACAGTCCCAAAAATGCCACAAATGCCACTGAGGTTCTCTCTATCCATTGACATGTGTCAGTCCTGATTGCAGTACAAAAGTAGTATAGAGCTAAAATTAGGATGTATACTTCTGTAGGACACAATTTTGGGAGTTTTACGATATTTTTGGCGAGGTAGTATACTCGCTCGACTCTTTAAGCTGTGTTTATGTCATAACTGTTGTATATTGCTTTTAGTTAAGTATTGTAGCAGACATGTACTCAACTTTAAAAACGAACTTTTAATAGAGAATAACAAGAAAATGTACCTTTAGAAGTAGGTCATTGAGTATGTTTTGTTTTTTTGTATTTTCCATTCCTGGTATTATGTCATTTTTCAGAAATTACAATAAATTACTTTATTTCTTCAAGTAAGTGTTTTGCTTTTGTCTTATCACAAGTCCAAATTCTAAGCTACAGTTTGGACCATAAATAAAGGAGTCATGGAGTTGCTGAAGTGAGGGTTTCCCATGCTAGAAAGAAGAAAATTTCCAAGATGTCATCCATCTGTGAATGCGAGGATACAAACTGTAAAATATACAAATTAGGGGATAGGCTATGTATCTAGGCAATATTGGAAACTGGGCTTCAAACCACCTTGGTTGGTAATTGGAAATGGTGATAGAAAATGGAATACTCATTTATGGTCCAGACTGTATGCACATGATGCAAAGCAAGCATATTTGTAAACTATCCTCTGATTATTCTGATGAATATTCAGATTTGGTGGCAAAAGACCTTAATTATCTGAAATATAGCTTATTGGAATTGGAATACTGATGTCATCTACTTATTGGCAGAAAATGTGTTTTGATTTTCTGATTTAGTAATCACATTCTGATTTAGATGAAGGATGGATAGATCAGGTAAAGGATCTGGATTTGCATTTAAAAGATAAAATCAGTAAATGTAGTATTTAAGGGGGCATTTAACGATAATGTGAAAGATTGTCCATATTCAATGGCAAGACTTTGTAACTTAAAAAACCATACGAGTATAAAAAGTTGATTACACTTCAATTTTTAAAAATGGAATTTTGAAACCTCTTGGTGCAATTTAGAGAATAACTAGAAGTCCCAGAGTCTTGTAGTGAGTCCATATAACTTTCCATCATTTTAAGTTCATTTCTGTTTGATTTAGCTTGGCTCCATTCATTACTGACATCTATATACAGATTATGAAGTTAAATACACTGCAGAAAGATGCATTTAGAGTGGATCTAGGAATTGTCAGATGAGGGCCCAAGATAATTTTTGCTAATCCTTTACCTCGTTCTATGGGTGAGTAAAATAAGATAAACATAAGTTCAATTTTCATAACATTTACAAAGTTTATTTTTTAAATAACAACACAAATTAGTCTGTTCGTTCAACACTGGCTACCAGCTAGGCTAACTTTGTTAGATTTAATCCAGTAGCTACTGTAACATAATATCCCTGCTTAATATTCATAGCATCACCACTTGCTGCTGTTGCCTAGCAACATAATGAGCATCAAAATGCCCGAAGTTCTTCCCTTTTTAATGTGTATTTTGAATGCTTAAAACTAGCCCTTAAACTTACTAAGAGTATCTTTCTCTTGTATAAACTTTTTCTAAAGGGCTTGACTTACTCTTTGATGTTGAGACATTAAGGAGATACAGTGCTGGTATATATTAATCGATCAGTCGTTTAATTGGCATATTTTCTTGAATTTTAAAATGTAATGTCCCAAACTCCCACAAACTGCAGAAAAGTATACCCCATAAATCATATTTACCAAAATGAGTGTCTCCAAGGCTTCACACCAGCGTATGCATAATGCATTTTTCACGAGTTCGGCTGAAATTTCGCCAAAATGAAGTAGGCTAAGGGTAGTCTCTGCCAGGTTTGTTTATTGTGGTAAGCTTGTAAGTGCTCGGAAGCAAATAATTCACGTGCGCAAAATAATCAAATAATCTAATTGGTCTAAACTTTGCTGCACATGCGCACAATGTGTGCCATGTTTTTTCTAGTGATTTCGTTTCGTT